TCCACCACCTCTGCAGGATGGACAGAAGTCGTGTTTGGCTGCCCTTGGTCCTTCTGCCCTCTTGTGCAGTAGTGCTGATGAGAGGTTGGCATTACATGCCCCATGGCTGCTCTGGCTGCTCCATCCTCTGGCTGCTCCATCCTCTGGCTTGGAACAGATGGGACAGAGACTCTGGCTTTTCTGTCCCGTGGGGCCTTGCTAGTCCTGACCTGGAGACCCTCCCCCATCCCTGAGCAGCAGGGGCTTGGTGAGGGGGCAAATGCATTTTAACCTGAGCATTGATGGGGGTGTTTTGCCTTTTGCTTGATGTGAGATCATTCAGTCAGTGCTGTTCCAACTTCTCCTGTGTCATGGTAGTTAATGACTGTCTTACGGGCATGGAGAAGCTTTAGTGAGGTACTGGTGATGCTGACTGATTGCATTCTTGTGCTTTCCTGTGCTAATTAAAAAGACAGTGTAGAGACCTTGATTTGTTCTTCTGTTTCTCCTTTTATTTTTCTGTCATTACCTGTGCATGTTTCCTGGGACCTACCCACCACCAGGTCCTTTGCTGGGTGCTGTGAATTGCTGGTGCTCTCTAATTTTATGTTCCAGTAAGGCAGAGACTGCAGATGCAGATGATGAAAGATTCTGCAGGTTAAAAAGTTACTAAGCAATGAAGCAAATGATATCTGCTAGATAGATGGGTCTTAGAGCTGCATGTTGCCCATTAGGTTTTACTGCTGGTGCAGCTCCCTCTGGCATTGCTGCTAACAGTAGCAGTGTTCTCCTGGGCACAGTGGGGGTAGGAGACTGCTGTGATCCCTGTGTTTCCCCAGGACAGGATCTTCCAGGTCTCTCCTGAGGGAGTGCAGTACGCTGCCTCTTGTTGAGGATCAGTCAGAGGGAACAGCTCTGGTGCAGTAAGGAAAAAATCAGTGTGTAGGGACTAGTACAGCAAAATGATGTTGTGTGATTTGAATGCTGAAAATTTCAGGGCAGGAGCTATTGGTTCTGGGGTAAATGGTTTCAGAGCTCGTGTGACAGGAGGCCACTGACCCAGCCGACCGAGATTGTCCATCCAGTTTGCAAGGTAGCGGTGAGCTGGTGGATGGAGCAAAGTAAAGAGCCACAAACTGGGAGAAATAATCTTGTTCTCTGGGTGCAGTGACCTGGCATGGCATGGGTGGGATGCTGCAGAGAGCTGAGCCCCACATCAGTCCCTCCTTTGGAAGCTGTGTTCCCTCCTGCCATGTTCCTAAGGGGATGCCTCTACTCACAAGCTGTTGGAGTGACTGGGGAAGGAGAGTTTTATGGGGCATGGGCAGTTGTAGCTGCAGGAGGAAGCTGAAATCTGAATGCCAGAGAAAGCACTTGCTGTTCAGAGCAGCTTCTGAAAAGTTGGTTTGGGGACACGTGCAGGGACCTGAATCTCCAGCATTTCTCTGGAACTTCTAGAAATCAGTGAGTGAGGGGTGACAGGGGGTTAATTTGATGGCAGATTATCTTTAAATTACAGTGGTGCAGCTCCAATGAGTTCTGGTTTGTTGCAGTGGAAAAAATGAGCGAATGTAGCCTCTGGGGCTGATACAGGTAACTGCAGGAAGGGAATTCAGCAGCCTTCCCTCCTCTTGTATTGACCCTGTCTGAGTTGCTTGCTTCCGTCATACTGCTTTTTTAAGACTCTGATCCCCCTAAGGTAACCTGCAAAAAGACTTTTAAATTGTGACTCCATTAGGGTTTGTTTGTTGGGGTTTTTTTTTCACTGTAAAGATCCAGTAAACCATTAAAAAAAAATAAAAAACCTTCCCCTGCATGTTTATCCTTGCAGTCTTAGGGGCATCACATCAAGCTCCTTGAAGATATCTACAGTCTGATTTCATCTGTCCTTGCCTGACACTAAAACTGGTGTTTTTCCAACTTCTCATGAGATTATGAAAATCTGAATGACTATTTAGAATCTGTTTGGAAGAGCAGCTAAAAATCCATTCCCTTCTCATACTTGACCATCATGGAATTCATGTTTTCTAGACACAAGACTTCCAAGACGAATGGGTTGAACAAGACTTTGAAGGAGAAATGCTTTAATCCCAAAATTAAATTGCTCTGGTTCCATTGTATCTGACAGAAAGGTGTAGATAAAGATCTTGTGTGTTTAAGGAAAAAGGCTGTTCTTCCTGCAGTAGTTTTCCTGAGCAAAAGTCAAAGCAATGTGTAAGAAGGGCAAAGGATGCTAACATACAGTCTTCTATTACACAAAGGATGTGAATTTTTTTTGTCATCTGTGTAGGAAGTTGATGCCTTTTAAACCTTCCTGTTAGGTATTCTTAATACCTTCTGCTGCTCTTTGACCTGTCCTCTGTCTAGCAGCTGCATCTTAAAGAGCAGATGAAATCATCTCAAGGATGGCAGGTCCTAATCTCAGTAATAGTTTCTATCCATTACAAGGTATGAAGTTGAAATGATCTGTGAGTGGGTTTATCTCAGATCCCACGTAGCATTTTTTCTCAGTAGCAGCAAGAAAGGGAAATTATCAGGCAGTGGGGAGAAGCTGTTTATTTTTAACTTACCCTTTCTTTTTAAGTTCTGTTTCATAATTAAAGGAGATAAGGAGTGGAAGCCAATGAAATACATAGCTGAAGGGATAAGCTGACCTCAAGCCCACTGCAGGGATTACAATAAGTAACAGAGTAGAGACTTTGGGGCCTCTTTCCTTCCCTGTCCTCATCCTAAAGTATCAAACTGAGTTCTTAGCTGCCTTTCAAAGGTGATGCAAGCAGACAGATTTAAAGGATTCTGGTTACAGAGCTCACTATTGCTGTCAGAGTTCACTTCTCTTCACCATGGTTTGAGGATGCCTCTCTTGAGTATCCGAAGGGATCTCTACTCAGAGTTAGCAAGGAGGAATCCTGATTGTTCCTAAAGAAATGCGTGCATCCACTGAGTGCTCACAACTGTGTGGCACTGTGCACACCTGTGTGTATGGGAATACAGGGAGACTGAAGGGAAGGTTCCTGGGGAGTCAGGTAGCCCTGAATAAAATGCCTTTGCTCTTGAATTACTGCTGCAGAAACCTGTTCAACTCCTCACCTTTCAAACCAGGTTCTTTCTCTGCAGCTTACTAATCTTGGTCAATTTGGCTTCCTCTGATTGACAGGAGCAAGCTGCCAGATCCCTTAGTGCTCAGCAGAAGGTGCATTATGCTATTACACTGTGTCCCTAGTGGATAGTTATTCCTGTGCCCAGGTGGCTTTCTTTCATCATTGCTCTTGGCTCTGCAATACTTCTTGTAGCTTCTGCACACAGGAGCAAGAAGGGCAGGCTGAATTTGGAGATGGATGTCATTGCAGGGGATTCTTTCTGCCAGTGGAGCTGACAAACAAAACAGCATTAGGAAATGAGTACTGGAGAGGAGGCTGTGAGCCTTTGCAACACTGGCAAGCTGTTTTAAATAGCATTGCAGAATCAGAATCAATGCAGTTGGAAAAGGGCTCTGAGACCTTCAAGTCCAAATCCTGATTCCTATCCCTAGCTTGTGTCTGCAGTGCTGGAGGACAGTTGAGCTGTAGAGGCTGCTGAGTGACCATCTCACCTGGGAACCACTTCTGGGACCCCTTTTTTCCCCCCAGTCCTCATGTGGGTGATTCCCTGTAGCTTCTGCCATCTCAGGCCCTAGCATGACTGTCTGTGTCCACCACTGCCAAATGCAGAGTTTGGGGGAAATAAGCTTTAGAAGGAACCCTAAGCAACTTCTGATTTCTTAGAATAAAAGATGTAAGGACAAGATTCAGTCCTGTAAAGGGCAGGAGCTGCCTAAAGGGGCAGTTGGCAGTAGTGCTTACACTGCTGGGAGTACAAGAGGAGAAGTGCAAGGGCTCCTTGTTGTTCTGGTCACTGTTGTCTTCAATCCTCTGCAATGCTCTTCTTAGGATCTTTTCTGAATTGTGATGCCTTGGAGCAGGGTCCTCTGCCTTTGCACCTTTTATCATGTGTCTTCCTGACTGAAGCTTGTCATGAGCTGGGGTTACTGTAGTGCAAATCTCAGATGTTCATATTCTGTTTAGCTCTCAGAGTAAATGGCAACGGCCTAAGAATGAAGTTACTGTGTTTAGAAGAATCATTTCGGGCATATGTTTGCCTAGGAGTGTTGACCTCTATGGTTCCTTGTAGGAAGATTGTTGTCACCAACCATCTCACAAGTGCTTTGAGGAATATGTTAGTCCATGCAATGCTTTAAAGCTAAAAATCATTGTGGGAGTCCCTCTTGGTGTTCCCTGGTTAGGAAAATGAATAGTTCAATAGAACAGAGATGTGTAACTATGAGTTTGCAAGTATAGCCCAACGCTGGGAGCAGAGTAGGGCAGTAATAAAAGCTGGAATTGCTTTGGTTGCAATGAAGGCCAACAGTAAAGTATCTCCCAGGCAGAAAGACCTGGATTCATGTCTTCATGTCTTTCTAAAAGCACAGTCCACACCAAGGCTGGTCTTCTCTTAGTGCTTGTCAAAAGCTTGTTCCTGTCAGGAGAGACATGCAGTGCTCTGTATGGAAGCTGACCTGAGCAGCTCTAGAAGCTGGTGATTTAGCAGGCTGTGAATGGTGATTCATGAGCCGGGAGGGAAGTGTGGTGACAAAACTAACCTTGGAAAGACTGTGGGGCTGGGCAAATCTGTGTTTGTATTGTGCTTCTGTGTTGTATCTGGGTGTACATGTGGCAATTAGGTTCTTGGTTTATTAATATGTCTAATTCTGATGACAGAAAGCTGCTGCTGCCATGGATATAGGTTTCATCTACCATTCTCATGAGTGGAGAAATTCTGTAAATTTCAGGACTGTTCCTTGGCATTAGGAGGCCTTTAGTGCCCACCTCCGTGTTGTTAATCATGAACCAAATATTGGCTGTTAAAGCCATCTCTGTCATGAAAACAGGTGCCAGAGCTGTGATCTGTCTCAGCCCTGCTCCTCCTGTGCTGAGGAGTCTGTGGGTACTGATTGCTGTGCTGTGTTTGGCTGTTTCTGGCAGGTTTTGGAGGTGGTACGGTCCAACTATGACACGCTGACGCTGAAGCTGCAGGACGGGCTGGACCAGTACGAGCGCTACTCGGAGCAGCACAAGGAGGCTGCCTTCTTCAAAGAGCTGGTAAGCTGCCTCAGCTCTGAGCAATCAGCAGCCCTCTTCAGAGCCTTTGCTTATGGCCTGGGCAGTGGTATTTGGGGTGGAGCTGAGCAGTCCCATTACTCCACTGGACTGCCCCCAAAGACAGGGCAGGAGCAGGATCTGGACAGACACTGCTTGTCTTAACAGATCTGAGAGCTTCCTGGAGCTCCCTGTGTGGCTGAAGAGGAACCTCCAGGCTGCTTAGGCCAGCACTGGTCAGATGGTCTCTGTCCCTTTTGCCATGGGATTTGCTCTGCTTTTTAGTGGTAAATCTGTATGGGAAGAATCTGTATGACTGATCTGACTGCTCCCACCTGGGGTTAATCACGCAGAGCAACTCTGCTTTTTTGCTGTTGTTAAGGGGACCATGATGTTTGGGACTGGTGAAATGCCTTCCTGCTCACTGCTTTTCTCCATCACTCACAAAAAAAGGGTTCCCAAGCAAGGAAAGTGAAGGCATTCCCTAGGAATGTCTCCATCTGCAAGAGGAAAAGACTGATGGTAGGAAGACCCACAAAAATTGCAGAGCAAAGACAAAAATGAGTCTAAATAATTCAGGTTGGTAGTTATAATTCTTCAGCAAGTCAGCTTGCTTACCCTTCTCCAGAGAGCCCTGAGGGAACTTTTCTTGTCCAACAGCCACATGAGCATGGAGGCAGTGTTTTTGTAGTGACTGGTGTGTGAGGGAAGCCTCACTCTTGAATCATTACAGCTTCACCAGAAGGGAGGGATCTCTAACTTTGGCAGCCTTCTCCACCAGTCTGAGAACTGATTCTTTCTCCCAGCTCTGTCCCTGCTGATTGATGAGTAATTGATGCCTGCCTACTCTGTCACGAGTCTCCATGAGTTTGGGCATGTTGTTGTGCACCCTTCTGTCAGCTCTGCTCCAGAACAGGCACCTGAAATGGTTTTGTTTCCTTTTACAGCATGCTTTTAACTCCCTTAGGGTCATTCCAGCCCTGACATTGGGTATTACATGGGCAAAACCACTTGCAATTGCTTCTATGCTATTTTTCTGTGTTGTTTTCTGCCTTTTTTTGTCTCTCTGGCCTGCTGTTTGACACAGCTTTCCTGGAACACAGCAAAGAAATTTGGCCATAGCCTCCCTGTGATACAGACTTCTTCTGTTACTGTACCCTGGAAATAAGACACATTCCTGTTTCTGTTGTCATTTGTTCTGTCCCAAGGGTTCCCACCCTTAGCCAGCATCTCCTTCCCCTTGGCCACATAACTGCTCTGCTTCCTGCATGTCCCACTTTCCACTTGGCCTGGCAGAAGCTCAGGCCAATCTTGCCAATTGATTTAAAATTATACTCTCAGTCCTATGATCATCACAGCCATGAAACACTTCAGTAAAATAATTTTCTTCTTAGACCAATTTCCTATTTTTTTCAAAATCCCAATTTTGTACCATTTAAAAATCTGTTTATCATAACCAGCCCGTCAACTCCCTTGTGAAAATTGCCCATCCAGGTACCCCTGGGACCCTCTCCTCAAGAGCATAAAAGCCTGAATAATTACTGTATAAATGTGCTGATTTGACCCAGTTGTGAATCAGTTTAATCCACATCTCTAGATGCCCTGCGAATTGGGACCCTATTAAATGTTCTTTACTCACAGCTACAGAAAATCCCCTGCATTCCATTAAGCCGTTCCCTCAACACAGCGGGAAATGAACCTGATACGTTGTGATTTGTCTTCAGCAAATCCAGTTGGCCTCCCAGCCTCCTTGCTCTGTTTTTCTCTAGGTGCACAGTAACTGATGGCTTTATTAATTGTTCAAACAACTCACCAAAAAGGCCCTAATCTGCCCTGTCCTTCCCACAGCCCCTTCAAACCAGGTACTTGCTTTCTTTTTGTGAAGCTTTTGAGTCTTTTCTTTACTTACCAGCTTCTGTTGCTGGTCTGATGCTGGATAATATCCCTCTACCCAGTTTGTTTTAACCAAAAAAAAACCCAAATAAACTTTGGGTTTAACCTCTGAGGTTTGCAGGATTTCATGGAGGAGGCAGAGGGAAGTTGGTGAAAATCTCTTTGTGGGCTTGGTGAAAATCTCTTTGTACCAGAGGATCAGAGCTGGTGGTGAACTACAAGTTTCTGAATTCACATTGATCCCATCAGGTCTTCCTGGACAGGATCTGCTTGCAAATAATTCTTTCCAGATTCTGCCAGGTTTTCTTATCACTGTCTGCGAATGTTTGCATCAAAGCAAACCCTTCTTGGGTGGGGAATGACACAGAGGAGACATTTTGCTTTTCAGCTGCCTTTTTATCTCTCTTTGCTCCCATTAAGTAGGTGAACAGAAGCTTCCCCAAGCCATTCTGGGGGCTCCTTTATGCTTAGAAATCTTGTTCTCACTCCTTTGACCTGCTTTGCTAATTCACTGCTTCACTTCTCTTGCTTTGCCTCAGTGCTGCTCTTTCTTGCTAATCCCAAAGAAAAATCTGCTTTCTTCTCCCATTCCCTTTACAGAGAGGTTTTCAAAGGCTGCAATACTGTGGCCACATTGTGGTGGAAGGTGATGTGCAGATTGTTTTATCGGCTGGGTTTTTTGGCATGTTGTGCTGCCTTTGAGGGGCTGAAGGAATGAAGTTAGGAAGTTTTCTAACACTTTTTATTTCTTTTCCTTTGAAGCCTCAGGGATGTCATTTGAGGTCTGTGCTGCTTTGATAGAATGAATGGTTTGGATGTGAGCTTTTGGACCCTCACATTGCAGCTGGAGGAGTGTGTGGAAAGAGATTTCAGCATCTTTCCAAAACATTCACTATCTTTGCAGTTAGATAGGTTTCATCAGTCTCAACATAGTCTGATTAGGGATTGATTTCTACTGGGGAAATTATCTTAATTTGACTCTTAATTAAGTGTAGTAGTCAGTGTAAATGTTCTTCCCATTGTACAAATAATTTAAGGGCTGCTTGTTGATTAGGAACTGGTTTAGTTGATGAGCTTGCTGTGAAATAGGAGTGTCGGTACAACCTTGCACACTTCCAGCTCTAATGACACAAAACTAAAATTTAATAATGTTTTCCCCCGATGGTTAATGCCCTTTCTTCATCCATTCTTTCATTTACTCATTCTTCCACAGGTGATGTCAGTATTTTGTGCATTTTCCATTTTTTCAATGTTTTTGGACTAATAGTAAGAAAACAATTTTAGAGCTCTTCTGTCCCTAATTCTCCAGGGTGCTCCATACAGAAGCAAGAGAGGACATGTGTTCTGCATGTACTTCCAAGCAGAATTAATGTTAAAGCTCTGACCTTAATTTCTGCAGTTTTGGAGCCTTTGTGCAAGTCTGGAGCAATCTGGTAAATTCCAGGCTGGCAGCCAGGCCTGGGCTGCCCACTGGACCAAAAGCTAGGAGGCATCCTGGGGTGTATCCTTATGGAGCAGCTTAGGTAGACTACAGGAAGCTTCTGAAGTTTGTCCTTGTTACAGACTGACACCTCCCTGTGTAACTGTCTGGTCTTCCAACTTTCCAACTCCAAAAGGTGGATGAGCTCTGGCTCCCTGTGCTGAGCCCTGGTGCTGGAGATAACTTGATTTAACTTTAATTTGAGCTATTCTTACCTTTTAAGCAGGTTGGCTCAGGCTGCCTGATTTCTCACAGCAGAAGAAATTCTGGGCAGAGATTTGTGGTAAATATCACTCTTGTGTGTTATCATGGCCACTCTTCTCACCAGTTTGTGTTAAGGCAGATCTACGTTCATCTAGACTGCTCTTGACCAAAGTTTGTGTCTAAAGCTTCTCTTGAAACATGAAGCTGTCTTTAAATTAAACTAGCTCCACAGTAGCTTCAGGTGAGCTCCTCCACAGCCCACAGGTTTTAAAAGTATTTCCTCTTTTCCTGTGTAAATCTTCTTTGTCTAAATTAGGCTGTGTATTTCTTGCCCCGTCCCTGGAGAGCCAGATAAATATTACTCACTGTTCTCTTTCTGACCTCATTTTACATAATGGAGTGTGTTTGCTCTATTCCTCCTTCGCTTTGCAAACTAATCATGCTAATTAATTTCTTGTGCTCTACGCCATAGCTACGATTTCTGCTAAGCCCTGTGTTTTCACTGTGCCACTCCAGCCTCACTTTCTGGGCTTGCAGAGACTCTTTCTTGGAGACCTCGATGTGTATACAAGCTGGGAATCTTCTACTGCTGGTGCCTGAGTCCTGGCAGCAGTTCCTGAGGCCAGGAGCTCATTACTGCTTGTACTGTGTGTTGTTGCTGGGACCCACTGAAATGCTTGTAGTCAGAATAAGGATGCTGGCTTACACTGCTTGTAGCATCTGCCCCTTTTCTTCAGGTAATCATATTCTCCAGAGCAGAGAACTCCCCACAGCTCATTACTGGTATTCATTCCTTCTTGTAAGAACTGGCTGGATCACTGGCATTGGAGCACTTGGTAGGACTGGGACCAAATCCTGTCAGTGGGACTACTGTCTCCTGGCAGCAGGACAGACCCATGCCAACCAGTGTTCTGGAGACCACTTGCAGCGGTGTTTAACACAGGGTACAACCGTGCTACTAAAAACTAAAACTATTTGAGGATGGAGTAAGTAAAAATACAACTAAAGTAGAGAGCTGAGGGGGTGCTCCAAGGGAACAAAGATGCTTGGGGTCTCAGCCAAGCATCCTGAGAGTTTGTGGTTTCTGCAGATGACATAAAACTTAAGTACTTTGTCTTTTAGGGTAGACATCTTTGCTGGCATGCTTGGGTTGTTAGGGTTTATGCAGTGGGGCTCACTGGGGTTCATTTCACAGCTTTCCCTGTTAACCTTCCAAGTTTTGATTTCCTTCCCTTTCTTACATTCTGCCTTTTGGGTAGCTTTCCTTGAGTGTGCTTTCCTCACCAGGGTAGCAAGTGGGACCCTTGGCAGTGTGTATATATATGCTCTTCCAGCCCCTGGTATTGGATTCCTCATTATGCATCTATATAATTCTTCCTCCAGTGCTTTTATAAAGTACAAAACACTAACCAGGTCAGCAACAACCTTATTATCACAGGCTCCGAGTCTCTGGGATCTGTAATCCTGTTGTTTGGATGAGCTTGTGTCAGTTTTGCTTTCTGTCACTGCTGCACAGTCGCTGACACAGATGATGTTTGACTTTGTTTTCTCGTTGCCAAGTGCAGCTGAGACTGAGCCCAGTCTGGGGCCTGCGTATTTGGCTAACGAGTCTGCAGGCACGAGGGGGGAAGGGAAGCTGCTGCCAACAGGGCTTCCCAGCTCTTCTTTGTGCTCTGTGGGTGACCAGAAGTCTGGGTGTCATTGAGGGATAAAGGTGTCTCTTCTTCAGAGGCAGCCAGTGAGGCAGCTGCACGTGCACAGCACTCGGAATACACACAGCTGGCTCTGAACCCAGGGGTTTCTGCCAGCCTGGCTGATAATTTGTGTTTACAGTGCAGTGGCGTGGCTCTGTCCTCTCCTTCGGTCTGTATCTTTGGCTCTGTGGGTTCTGGAGCAGGACAGAGGCCATGGCACTGCATTAATCTGGGAAATGCTCACTGGCACTCTGGTGGGCATTGATAAAATATCATCTTTAAGCTGCAGCCTAGGACTGCTGACTTCCCCCATCTCTTTGCCCCAGAACAAGAAACACAGAGCATCTCCTCCCATCCCCATCTCATTGGGAGTTTACTCTCCTTGCTGGGATGTCACTGTAGACATTCCTGTTTTTCCAAGAAACAGCTGAACCTCACCATTTCCTTGCTAGGCTGGAGTCTTAGTGAGAGCTTGCTACAGCAATTGCTGTGGAGCTGTAAATGCAAAACAGCTTCATGCTGAGCGTGGAGTCAGCAGTGTCAAAACTACCAGGCTCATGAGGAGTCCCGTGGCTAAAACATCCCGTTTTGTTTCTGTCAGGTTCGCTCCATCAGCATCAACGTGAGGAAGAACCTTGCTTTCAACACGCTGAGCCAGGAGCTGCTGCTGAAGGAGTTCTCGACGATCTCGTGAACGGGGCCGCTGCCGCAGCGCGGGCGGAGCGGGCCGGGCGGGCAGGGACACTGCGGTCTGCGGCCGGTGCCTGCGGAAGGGACTGTGTTTCTTTTAGGGGAACGCCTTGCTGCTGTGTGTTTGATCCCAAAGGAATGTGTTTAAACAGATCTTGGGCTGAGGAGAGCTGATTGGCATGTTGAGGAGGAAGCAATTTTTTATGGTGCCACGGGAGTGGTTAGCCATTCCTGTGACATGGCAATGGGAGATTCCCTCCACAGCCTCAGGGAAAATGCACTGGAAACCTTTGTAGCAGAGCTGGGGAGAGCTCACAACTGAAATAATAAAACCAGCCCAGCTGTGTGAAACTGTTCTGGGTAGAGATTGCTCACCTGCTCCATGGGGAAAGCTCTCTGGTCCCAGGTGAGGGCTGTTCTTTTCCATCAGCCTGGGTTAACGTGTCCTCCTGTCATGTAAGTCAAATCCACTGCCATACCATTGGGAACGGCTTTGGATTATAAAACAGCTTCCCCAAGGAGCAGGCCTTGCTCACTGCTGTCTCCTGATGTCAAAAGGTGTCACTTCAACCAAGACATCAGATTACTGGAAAAGGGGAAACTTTGCCTCCAAGGCTGTTGGCTTGCAGGGTCCAGTGTGAGCCAGTATACAAGAATATGGGTGATCAAACAGAGCACTTTGTTACTGGAGACCAGCTCTGCTTGGGGTCACTGTTGCTTCCAGTAGCGCCCAGCTCATCCGCTGTTTCTAAGGTAGAGGGACATTTTTAGATATTTGGTTTTCATGGGGCAGAGGACAGGCTGACTCCTTCTCCCCACTCACCTTAAAGCTAGTTAGAGACTGCTTTGCGACAATCCTCCTCTTCCTCACAGGAACATCTGCCTTGCACATGTTTGCAGGTGCCTGGTGACCTTCATAAATGAAGAAGTCTCCAGTTTTTCCTTTGTGTGTAGCACACAGTTAAAATGCATCTGGAGAAGCAGTGACTTCACTTTCTCACCCTCCTGTCTTCACCAAATGATTTACAGCGGTGGTCTGCTGAGGGCTTCCTAAGGAGGAGCTCTGGGATGATGCTGTGGGGCACAGGCAGACCTCTCTGCTCCCAGAGCCGGTGCTTCAGAGGTGCCCAGGTCTGGCAGAGCCTGTTTAGAGTGCTGTGTCAGGCTCCCAGCTCAGGAATACACAGCATAGACACCCGTTCCACACCTGTTCCCTGCTCATGCATTTTCAGTTCCCAGTAGTGATGTTTTGATACTAGGATCTGGCTTGACTTGGTGGACTGAAGTAGACAAGTTATTTACATCCCAGATCCACGGGGTTTTTTCCTCCCCCTAGAAAACAGATGTTTTTTTTTTTAAAAGTGCCTAGTCCTGCTCTTAGCCTTGTAGGTTAGTGTGAGTAATGTGGATGTCATGCTCATTTACTACCATTTTTAGGCAAGGCTTTTTTCATGCTAATGTGCATTAATTGTGTTAATGTTTCATCTTACCTGCTATGAGCATGGGAAACTGAAAGCTGTGTCCTTGGCCACCCACTGGGCACAACACTGATGACATCCCTGTGTTGTCTTTGGGAGCACTGGCTTCTCTCAGCAGATGATACTATTCCTCAGCAGGGAATTGTCTGGCTTTTAACAGCTAAGCCAGACATTTATTTGCTTTCTGCCATACAAGTGTATGGGAATGTGTATGTGTCAGAGGGGCAGTGCTTAGGAGAGCAAGCAGGCTTCATAAAATCACTGCCTGAGAACAGGCCAGGGCATGTAGAGGAGGCAGCTTCTCCAGTGGAAAATGAGAACAGTTGTTTGCAGTATGTGGTGCTTTTCTGGGGGAATAGAGGGGGATCTCACCTCTGAGGGGGGAGTTCCTTCTAAAGGGGACTTGAGGTGCAGCCCCAGCATTGTGACTGTTGGAGCATTGAGTCAGCCAGCTGTCCTCATGCCTCCTGTTCTCTGAGCCCATTTAGGCTGAGCCTAGACACATATGTGAGAGAGTTTGGGATGAGTCTGCTTCTGACTTGGCAGCCTCTGGAATTTTCAGCTTCTCACTCTGGGCTCAGCTGTCCTGTCTCCCTGAGGATGCTCCCTTGCTGGGATGATCATAGAAGCCCAGGCATGTGTAGGATCAGTTCCTGAGCCCAGCCCTCATCCAAGTCTGAGCTGGGGAAGACTGTGATACATGTCCTCTTGTCACACTGTCACTGAACCAAGCACTGTAAATGGATGTACATACAAACCTAGAGCTCAATAAATAGCAGAGCCCCGCCTGTCCAGTGTGCAGTGTTTGTCCTTCACTGGAGGGAGAGGGGGGTGGTTGTGGGAGTGGCCCTGTCACCGTTTGGTGGCACACTGGCTGCAGCAGGGCTGTCACCTGCCCTTGGGCTCTTCCTGCCTGTGCAGAGGGAGGCTGTGGCTCTGCACAGTGATGCTTTGTCCTTGGTCCATTATGCAGGTACCATCCAGTAGTCAGCATTCCTCTTCCTCTAACGTGTCCCTGTGGCTGGCACTAGGGAAGCCATGAGCGAGGGATGCAGGGACCTGCCTGTGCATGGTGTGATGCTCTCTCGTTGCTGGTGTCAGCAAACTCCTGCTCACAGATTCTGCTGAACATTTGCCTGCTTTGTTAAACACCCTACTACTATTTGTGTTTTGAGGCCAGCTTGAACTGAGCAGAAAGTAATTTAAATCTTAATGTTCAGCTTCAGGATGTGTGTGACAGCCTCCAACTTTACCGTATCTGATCTGAGCAGGTGAGTGTATTTTGTTATATCTAATTCATAACTGTCTGTTATTGGAAGAGCTGTTTCTGAGGCTTGGGGAGTGTGGGGAGAAGTCAGATTGCTACCTTTAAATTATGCATCAGCTGCAGGGAGACAAATATTTTGCAAAATAATGACCTGGAAGAAAATTGAATTTGAGCTAAACTTTGGAGGGAGTTGCTAAGAGTTGTTTTGTAAGTGCCACTGATTTTTGATCTCTTTTTCCTGAGCTCTGACAGGTCCCACTTTTCATGCAGACTCGATAGAGAGGCAGCTCCTCAGGAGCTGAGTCTTCCCTGTATGGGCCAGCAGCTCCAAATGGTGTTCTGTCTGTTCTTTGGAGCTGCTAGGAGCAGGTAATAGCAAATCCCTGATCGTGTACTGCAGCCAGAGGGCAGGGTGCACCTTTGCCCACCTGCTGTGTTTGCTTTGCAAACCTCCTCATCCTCTTCCTGGTCATGGCTATTGCCTGCTCTGGTCCTGTACCCATGGCACGGGGGCCATTCCTCTGTGGGATCGAGCTGCCTTCCATGTGAGCATGTCCTGGTGTCTGCTGTGGGGTGCTTTTCTCTTCCCACTTGAAGAACTGGACACTCCCTGCTCTGGGGTCCTGCTCACTGTTGCATGGTGGGTATCATCAGAAGTCCTGGAAAGAGATGTTTCCTAGACAGCACCTGCACAAGGGACCAACTGCAGTGTGCTCCACCTGCTTCCCCACACTTCCTTCTCAGCGTGGAGCTGCTCTCTTTCCTAGCTCCCATTCCAGTGCAGGGCAGGCAGAGGGAGCAGCTGTTCCCCCTGCCAGGTCACAGCTGGCACTGTGGGTGCTGGGACAGTGCGTGCCCAGCAGTCAATGGTAAGATTTACAGCTGGCTCTTGGCACTGGAAAGCAGCTCGTGGTCAGCACTGAGGCCTCTTGGGTGTTTATTCTCATCTTCTGTGGGGCTCTGTTTTCCTGTTTGGTGCTTCTTGGTATGAGCAGGGTCATGCTGGACAGAAGTATGATGGCTTTTTTGGCAGATGAGGCATTGCAGTAACCTGAAAGAGGTAAAGCCCAGCTTTGGAAAGCATAGAAATCCAAAGGGGCCAGCATAAGATGTGCTTTTCCCCTGGTGGCAGCTTATTAATGCCTTTGCTGATGCTTTCAGGGGGAGGGCAGGCAGAAAAAGAAATGATGAATGGAAGTCTGGACCAGCAGTCTAGAGAAAAGCTGGTGCAAGGCTGGTGGGACCTGGAGGCTCCTAGGGCTGCTGAGAGTCCTTCGTGCTGGTCAGAGCCCTGGTTCTCCCCACATACAGCACAGTGTGGTGGTGCCCAGGGGGACACTGATCAAGCAGAGGGGTGGTCCCAAATATATGTGATAGGCAGCACCCTCGAAGGAGCATTGCTGAGTGCTGTTGTCTTTTTAAAGCTTCTTTGGGCCACCCTGGCAGGTGCTGCAGACCTCAGATCTGACCCAGTGTGGCTGTCACCCCTCAGGGCTGTGACTGGCTGCAAAGAGATGCTCAGGATGGGGCTTCCCCAGCTGCCCACACATCACTCAGGACCAGCAGCTTCTTCCCAGAGAAGCCCCTGCTCTCCAGGACAGAATGGGGCTCCCCTGGAGCCCCTGACATCTCAGCTCATCCCAGAGGGCCAGAACAAGCACAGGGTCCTGTGCTGCCCTCTCCCAGCTTGGCAGCTGCTGGAGCCCAGGCTGGACCATGCTCTGCAGCTTCTGCTCTCTGTGCTGTCCCCCCAGGGCTAATTGAATCATGTGGCTGGAAATTGAATCCAATTGAACAGATTAAATGAGCCGGTCTTGCCTCTCACTGCAGCACAGCTCAGAGCCTTGCCAAGCTGCTGCCAGAGGCTGGGAGCTCCCAGGAGTCCCGTGGGGGCAGGAAGGGGCTATAGGCTGCTGGGAGATGGACACCCACTGTGCTGGGCTGCTTCTCCAGCTCTGCTGTGACAGATGGACCCTCAGCCTTTTCTCAGTGATGTGCAGCCTGGCTGTGTCCCAGGGCCCACAGGTCACTCTGCTACAGGCACACACAGGTTGGGTTGGCTCGTTTCCCTTCTGAAGCAATTAATGACTAATTAGCTGGAGCACCCCTGCTCCAGGGTTCAGCCAGGGCCCTCCCAACAGTGAACAGGGGCTGGGATGCTCTAATGACCTGTGGCTGCTCAGGAGTTCCAATCCTGTTGTTCCCCCAGCCTACAAGTGGAGCAAGCGGTGCTCCAGCAGCACCCCAGCCCCATGCCCTGCTTTCAGCCCCTCTGCTGCAACCACTGGCAGCCAGCGAGACAGGAGAGGATGGGTGGGGATGGGCAGCTGAGAGCAGAGTGCTGAGACCGCAGTCACAGTGGAGACATCCCTTCCCATGGAGGTGAGCTGGGGCACAGGACCCTGCCCTGGCAGAGCAGGAGGACACGTGTCCGCAGTGTGGCCTCGCTCGTGACAGAGATGCACATCTGTTCTAGCAGACCTGGGCTGCTGAAAGAGTCCCTGGTGTGGCATCCAGCATGGCATAAATGAAGGTTGGAAATAGTATCTAGTTCCTCTTTAATTAAAACCTGAGCCCACAGGCACTGAGCACACAAACATGAGACGCTTTGTAATGCTGGGAGGGCTTGTGGGACTCAGGGTATGTCCTGAGCCCAGGAATGCTCCAGTCTCCACTTCCCAGACTGAGTGGTTTCCTCACACAGATTTTGTATCTGTTGTGCAGAAGTGGCATTCTGGGTGGACACAGAGCCGCCCTGCAGCCCACCCAGCAGTGAGGCCGTGCTGGGGAATCCCTTCTTGCTGGGGGGATAAGCAGAGGCAGGTGACTGGCTTTCGAGGATACAGAGTGTGATGCAAAGTCCTTTCTCCCTCTGCACACCCAGATTTCTCACACCTGCTGGTTTGCATTTGACAGAGGAATTTCCTTCCTCCTGCAGCATTCCTGCTTGCAAAGCTCTCCCAGCAGCTTGCAGCATCATCTGTTCCTCCTCCAGCTTTGCAAGATTTTTCAGCAGCTGAAATTCCCCCCAGGTCTGAATCTCACCGTGGATCCCACCTGCCCCTGTGTCTCTGCAGGGAGGGTCAGTGGAGATGGGAGCAGCCCTCCCCTGTGTGTGTCCTGGCTGCTGTCCCCCTGGGGCATCACCTCCCAGGGACCTGCTGGTCTGCTGCAGCTGTTCCAAGATCACAGAGACCCTCTGTGGAGACCGAGACCCTCATCTCGTGTCACCCAGATCCATTTCCTCTGCAGATGTAGTAAATGTTGTGTTTTATTCCTGAGGGGGGCCATTTGCCCTGCCTGGAGCCCTCCCCAGACACCTGCATGGCCATGAACATCCCTGTGCCAGACTGGGAGCCTGGCTGGGTCCTGGCAGGGGAATAGCCCCTGGTGCAGAGCTGCTCATCTCCATCTGCTGGCATGTTTGCAAAGAGTGAAGCTGCTTTAAGGAGCTCCTCTTGTTTGCCCTCTGCCTCTGGAACCAGTCCCTGGGTGCTGCACCCCTTGTCCCAGCCCGGGAGCTGCCTGGGAGTCCTCTCTGCTGTGGAAGAAGAGCTGTCCCTTGTCACCAAGTGTATATCTGAGCCCAGAGACACCAGGTGACCACAGCCAAAATAGGATTAATGGCATCTGCTGGGAGCTCATCCCGAGGACTGCTATTGATGATCATGGCTTTAAAATACTGTTAACAGTGGATAAAGCACAATGATTTCGAGCACTCGACAATTACATCTCTGTTTGAAATTTCCTAAAGATAGGATCAGACTCCTGAGTCCCGCTCTCTGCTTTTTCGATAGAACTAATAAGAATGGAGATTTGTAATTAGAGAGTGTGCAGGATGGTAGGGCAGATCAATGCCTTGTAGTTACCTAATGAAATGTTAAATTATGTCTTTCCCTCTCCCTGTCGCTTAATCACACCCACCCCAGGGCTGCTTGCAGAGAGCAGAGGGCCTGGGGGAGATCTCCCTGCATTCCCCTACCCCTGAGGTGCAAACCTAAGCACTCCTGACTCCTCTCCAGGGTTGTCTTCTGTGGTTTGGGACTGTCTTGGGTTTTGTGTGGAGCCTAGGGTTTTCAGCAGGGGAGTGTAGGGACTTGTGGCCCCAGAGCTGGGGTGTCCCAGCAGGGAGCAGGAGGCAAAGATGAGCCAAAGGGATCAGTCCAGTATCGCAGGGTGAGTGTCCTGAAGGAGGAGCAGGGACGGCTGTGGGTGAGCTCAGCTCGGCCCAGCCTGGGTGTGGATGAGGCTGGTGGCAGCCTAGCACAGTTCTGTCTCCAGCCAGACTCTTAATCTGGTGAATTTCCAAACTTGTGCTCTTCCCCAGTTATGACAAGGCTGCAGTGGCCACATGATGAGCTGGGGACAAACAAGGCTCCTGGACAGCACGACCCTGCTCATACTTTCCAGCCCTTCTCACCCTAAGAGTCATTCCTGGCTGCAGCGTCACTGCCTGGGAGCAGCAGTAATCCTGTGCAGATGTGCCCCATCAAAGCTCTGCTGTCTCTGACAGGGTGACAG